TTTTTTTTTTCCACAAAAAAAAAAAAAAAAAATGAGCAAGCTTCTAATGTTTGGACACTATAAAAGGAAGAAAGGAATATTCGACTGGAGTGTGTTTGGCTTTTACAATAGAAGAGGAAGAAAAATAATTGGTCCATCTAGCTAATTAAGAAATGGATTCAGAATATAGAATCAACAAACCAAATTTTCAGAGGGAAAGTTAGGTCATTATACGATATATTTTAAGAGAACGATACAAAATGACATCACTCAATTATGCATTTCGTACTCTTAAAAGAAGATTTTCAATTGGAATGTTAAACAATCAATATCTTATTTGGGAAAGGTTAATAGAAAACCAGGAGGACACTATAGTATAGCCATTAATTAATGGACCAATACGGAGTTGTTGACTCAATTAAAATAGCCATTAATGGACCAACCACCACTAGAAATACACTACCGATAATTCACTGCAAACTTTGAACATCACAGAGTACTCTTCCTGAAATGCAATATCTCTCGACTTGCTCCAAATGATCTTCATCTATCCTCCTTCAATAGTTCTTAGTTTACAAGAGAATAGCTCAACTATATAACCAATCACTAATAAGAAAACACCGCTATATTAAATATGTTACCCAGCAAACAGAACCTAGATGTTACAAAGTGAATTGAATATATTGTTCGGGTCAATGCGGCCAGTAGGAGTCAAAAGCTGTATTAGTAGAACTAATTGTTGTCATCAAGTGGTAGAGGTTGAACATAGCTCAAGACTATGAAAATGGTTAGCTCACTGTGTTGTGACACTTTTGGCAAGATTGCGAGGTTGATCAACATTGTATCCACGCAGTACAGTCAGATGATAGGATAATAACTGCGCAGGACAAAGACGACAAACACAAGAGAACAAGTAAGCTGGCTGTAAAACCTCAAACAGAAATTAAGCTTTCAGTCTGCATATTACTGGAGCAAAAGAAAAGCTGCTGCGCAGCAACTGTCATGATTCATGAAATTTCACTTAATTTACCAACATCCCAGCGAATTCTGCTAGGCCACTAAATGATCAATGCATCGAGTGAAGGGAAGTGAGGGGGAAAAAAGGAGGCGGTGAGGGCGTTGAACTTAGAAGAAGATGAAAAATGCATGTTATGGTATACGCTATGCCAGTCTATCATATTGCATATGATCTTAAGTGGTTCTTGGCCCCTAGCAGGCTTTCACAAAATAACACAAATTTACATGATATGAAGCTGTGACCAAGTAAACGATAAAGATTGAGAGAAATTTTGCCTATTTATGGCGTTCAGTGGTTTAAAGGTAGAAATCAGAGCAAGTAGAGGATTAGCAGAGAGAGAGAGAGAGAGACACAGAGAGAGAGAGGAAAGAGATGAGAGCAAAATTTGTACAGCTGCCAATCAAGTGTAGCAAAATAATACACATAGTATTAGAACAATAGAAACCACAAAGTGGAAAATTTATGATCTTGGCACCTTAGTTTCGGTCCTGCTATATAATTTGCTAACAAGCGCTTTAGTGTTTATATTGAAGGGACCTGATAAGTTCTCATGGTTTGAATCATTGGAGATGTGATCAAACCAACACAAAAGAAATTCAAACTACTACATAACTCAGACAGATGCTATTTCCAATTGAATGAATACTCAACTTTACACGGTAGATAAGTATCTGACTTTACTGCACACTTACTATTTTCTTTTTAGGCTAAAATAATGTAATAGGCAACCAAACAAACCCCACTTTAAGGACTTCAAATTTATGGTCTTAATTTAAAGGTGTATCTGGATATACACATCTTTAGCTTGCATCTTGAACCAGTCATTATGGCCATATAGTGTTCTTTTCATTTTATTCAGTGGCTGAGGCACATAGAGGTAGTTTTGCTTTTGTTTGTTGGAAAATGACATTTAACAAACATGCATCATTTTAGTCATTGAAAATAGGACTAGAGTAACCTAATAAAAGATGTCCCAGGAGTGCCACAGATTGAACATGTAAAATAAGAGGCAACCATACCGCAAGTTATATGCATTAATGAAAATCATCACCCGGCCATCAAAAGAATAGGAAACTTATGTTACGAACGAATAAACAAAACATGACGTTGCTCCATAACCCTATTTGTTAATTTATATTTGATTCACATTGAAAAATGTTAACAAAAGATTGACATACTTCTAGTTTTCAAATCGTATTCCTGTTATATTCCAGGCCAACTAGAGGCCAACAAGGCTGGAAATCTTTATGCCAAATGAACGAAAAGATGCAGAGTTCATTTGCACGTCTGGCTAAAAGATTTATCAGACAACACCAAAATGCCTTACATTTTGTCTACTGAAATGTTGGGTAATCCAGTTCACGGATGCAGTCCAAAAACTTATGAAAGAGCAGACATATTGGTACACAGAATCCTGATACCCCCATCCCTGGCGAGGAAGTAGATTTGTGTACAATCTACTAATCCAGCTAGGAGATGCATGTCAAGCCATATAATGCCAACAGTTTAATTTCCACGATTACACAGGGAAATGCAGCTTTGGAGCAACAATAAAGTTGTCTCCCTATGATCTATAGGTCACGGGTTCGAGCCGTGGAATCAACCACTGATGCTTGCGTCAGGGTAGGCTGCCTACATCACATCCAAATGGGTTGCGGCTCTTCCTCAGACCCTGCGCGAATGCGGGATGCTATGTGCACCGGTCTGCCCCTCTTTAAGGGAATTGCAGGCAGCTTTAGCTTATACTAAATTGTGTGAACAAACACACTTAAGCTATTAGAGAGTTGACATAGAGGATGTTTGGCTAAGCTTATAAGCTGGTCAAACTGGCTTATAAGTCATTTTCAGCTTATTTACGTGTTTGGTAAAATTAAAAGTACTTATAAGTCAAGTGCTTATAAGCCAAAATAAGTCATAAGTTGGTCACCCCCAACTTATCAAATTTGAGCTAATAAGCACTTTAGGTTTGACCAAAACTTTTACTATTCTATCCCTAATATTATTATACTACTTCCAACAAGGAGATCGGCGAACGAGATGAAGATATCCATCGCTGGCAATTTTCTTTGCATCAATAGTTATGGATGGTTTCATCATTATATTCTCATCATAAGAAACACATATTTTCCTCGTAACTGTTTACAAATGTTCTTTAAATGCATTAAGTACCAAAATCTGGTTATGAAAACCAAGAAATTTGTTGGTTCAAGATTTTATTTTAGTTTATCATAAAATAGTTTCATCTAATAAATCTCGTATTAGAAATAAATTGAGACATAAAATTATTTTGTATTTGAATCATTAAAATTATTTTGTATTTGAATCACGGTAGAATATAAAATCTTGTAATCATCATGCCCTTATTAGCGTTAACAACTTTAGGGCATTTAAGTCAATTTAACATAAAAAGTGCTTATCTGTTTTTCCTCAAATATTGCAACAACTTATTATCAGTTTCAGTACTTTTATCCAAACACAAAACTACTTATTTAGTAAATCAGCTTCAGCATTTAAAAGTGCTTTTAAGCACTTGATGCTTATTAGCTAATTTAAATCAGCTAAGCCAAATGGGCTCATAATTATCTATTCTAGGTCTGCAACAAGTCCCTTACGTCACTGCTTGATTCTTAGGCCAAGCGGGTGGAAATATTTCGTAAATGATGGTGGCAAGACCCCAAACATCCTCTATCTGCTCTGTTAAATTGTGTGAACGGCCTCAATTAAAAGCATTAATTGTTAGAGAGTTTGCCCATTATATTTATTAATTTTGGGTCTGCAATAGCTTTTGTATCATAAGGAAACAAACATTTTCCAGAATCCCACTTTTTCCACAAACTTACCCAA